CCACTTCGATTTTTCCTGTTTTTCTTCTTTTCTCTTTCTCTTTGATTTCAATTTTCTCTTTTTGCCCAAAAATTCGAATTATTTTATTCCCTACTTTTTTCATCTTTCTGATTTATTTTATTTTCCTTTATTTATTCTGAAAATTCATTTTTTTCTGCAGCACCATAATATCTAATTAGGACTGGGCCATTCTTGCTTTCGGCACACATTTTCACCCCGTGGGGGGAATGAAGTGCTGCCGAAATTTTATGTTTTCTTCATACTTAGTCGTTTTTCAGCACATTTTGACCCCTTGGGGATAGCGAAGTGCTGGCAAAATCTTCTTATTTTTCTTAGTCTTTCTTCTTCACGGCACACTTCGACCCCATAGGGGTAACGAAAGGCTGCCGAAATTTTTGAAAAATCCAAAACTTAGTTAGTTTCTCTTCACTCTCCTCCGCCTCCTTATTTATTTATCTATTTATTTATTTATTTACTTATTTTTTTGAAAATTTTAATTTGCGGCATTGTAAAAATTAGTGTGCTTCTCCTAGTCTCTCCTTTCTCTTTGCACATTTTGACCCTATTGGGGTAAGAAAATGCTGCCAAAAATTTTCAAAAAAAATAAAAATAAAAAAAATTCCTCACTCTTTACATTTTATTTCTTTATTTATTTTTTTTTCTTTTTTTATTTTATCTTTATCTCAAAAATCCACTGTTTATTCTATTTGATCTCCCCCTTCCCTCCGTATTATTTTTTTTCTTGATTAGGTCGTCGCTACCCTCCCCTAACCACCTAAACTCCGGTTAGGGTTTTCTTAGGGTTTTCTAAGGTTTAGGGTTCTCCTACCCCCCCCCCCTCCTACTCTCCCGCCTCCTCCCGTCGGGCACCCTGGACCCGGACGGATCCTCCCCCCTCGAGCGGTTCGGCGCATTCGTCTCACGCGCGACCCGCCAAATCCGGGGTGAGCCGACTCACACATACTCACTCTGCTCCCGTGGTCCCCTTCCTCTTACCGGCGGACCCCTCTCCCCACACACCCCCGTGAGCTCTACCTCCCTTTCCCTTCCGGCCATGAAAGGGAGTTCCTCTGAGGAGATCACCACGGCCCCTCCCACCTCCCGGGTGAGCGTTCAGCCAGCGGGTCAGGGTTAGGCTCATGCGGACACGATGGACCTCGTGGCGATCCAGGCGCAACTTAGTATGCTTGGACCGTTGCAAGCGCATTGATATCAACCGCCTCAAGGGCTCTCCTCATCGCTCTCCCCACCGCTCCCACACCCCATCCCCTACCGGCTCCGATTCCGGCTCCCCAGGACTCCGGAGACAGAGACACCATGGTTCCCCCTCCTCTGCGGGTCAGGCCCAGCACTCCCCCTCAGCAATGGCGAGTGCTGCTGCCGCTCAGACCACCCCGTCTGTTGCGGCACTTCTTCCGGCCCCATCCGCCCCTACCGTCTCTACTACTGCCGTACGTGCTGCGGCCCAGGTACTGCCATCTGGCCCCGCAGTTTCATCGACCTACCCCGGTATTGCTTCCCAGCTTCCCGCACCGGTCGCGGCAATACGGCTTCGCCCTCTTCTTCCTGCCTTCATCCCCCCACCCCCACAACAGGGTACCGCCCAGGCTGGGATTCCTCCTCCCACTGGGAGACCCGCTCCGCCCCCTCCACCTCCGACCCCGCGCACCCAGCGAGTGGCCACTTTACAGGCCACCACTACGCAGGCTCAGGCGGAGATTCTCGCTCTAAGACAGCCTCACCCATCACAGGCTGCCCACCCTTCCTCCTCGACCACCCCTTCGGTCCCCATGATGCAGGCTCGTTTCCCTCGACCTGCTCCTCGGCCTCTTCCCTCTTACCTGGCTATTCCGGGACAACTGCCCGCGGTCGTTGCCTCCTCGTCTGCTGGTCCATCAGCCAGCGGCCACGGCCCACAGCCTTCCCCCACCTCTGCCCCTGCAGCGGCCCCGACTTATGTCGCCGCAGTGCACGCGCCTCGATCTCCCTCCCCCTACCATCAACACAGTGGACACCCTCCTGTGCTCACCTCGGACATTCTTGAGTATGATGGCACATCTCGCGTCTCTCGCTGGTTGCAGATAGCAACACACACACTCTCACTGACGACCACCCCTCAGGAGTTGTGGTGCGATGTGCTCGCAACCAACTTGCGAGGCAGCCCTTCCCAAGCATGGGAGGATCATTATACCCATCGCCTCCGCGTGGGTGAGGTCCCCACTCTGGCCGACTTCGCGGCCTTCCTTCAGGAGCGTTTCGGCGCTCGTCATAACGCCACCGACGCCTTAGACCGCGTCACCCAGACCAGATGGTCCGGGTCCTCTGTACCGGCCGACGTGGAGCGTCACATCCGGGTGTTTCAGGACGCTCGCCTTGTTTGTGACGAGACGTTCCTACCGGAGGTCACACTCACCGACCGGTTCCTTGTCAGCCTATCAACTGACTACCGCCTAGAGCTATGGAGGCGATCATTCTCTTCCGCCGAGCAGGCATACGAGGCTGCGCGTCAGTACCATAGGATGTGCAGTAGCTTCTCCGTCGCCCCATCCTCTTCGCGACCAGCCGCCACCTCCCAATCTCGTGGTACCACCAGAGGCCGCTCCTCGTTTGCTGGTCGTTTTCGTCGCCAGGCTCGACATGGAGCGCCATTCTCTCGGCACTATAATTCTCTCGAGTATGGAGAGGATGCCTCAACCGAGCTCGACCCTACCGTTGGGGACGCCCCCGAGGACATCGAGCTTCGGGACGTCATCCAGTATCACTTGGATGACGACACTGTCCCAGTGGCCGAGCGCCTGCAGATAGCCATGCCTGCCATGGGTCGTGCACGCAGTCGGGTGGCACAAGCTGGCACCCGCACACCCACCGTTCCCCAAATAGACCTCCCGCAGGGTTTCGTCCTTCCTCGCGGAGCTCTATCTCCTGAGGAGCGTGCCGCCCTCGAGGCTCGTCGCGGCTGCCTTCGTTGCCGCCTGGATGGATACACCTCCTCACGGTGTCCATACCATACCGCCCTCGATCGACACTACGCTGATATCTCTCGTGAGCGTCGATATCAATCCCCCCGGCCCCGCCCGGCCAGCCCCACCCACCTAGCCATGGTGCAGTGTGCCCTTGAGGCCTCGCACGTAGCCGACTTCCCGATCACCGAGTCGCGGTTTGCCCCTTTGGCTACCCCACCAAAGAATCCTCAGGACATGACAGACGCAGTTCTCTCTGCCCCGTCGTCTGTCGAGGTATCGTCTGCCTCCCAGCAGACCGCCGCATCTAGCGCTTCTCCCCCGAGACTTCCGACGCGTCGCGCCATTCGCACAGCCCGTTGTAGCGCTCAGCTGGCGACTCGCGATGACTTTGCGTCATCTCTCCTGGACTTAAGCATTTTGCAGGCTCGTCAGGAGCGACTCACGAGACACATCAACGGCCTGCGTCGTCTTCTCGCTCTGCTCTCTGACCATGATCGCACCCTACCCATCATCCCTATTCGACTAGGGACATCTACGAGGGTGTACCACGCTTTATGGGACTCTGGCTCGCAGGGAGATTTCGTTCACCCTCGAGTGGTTGAGGAAGCTCGCCTAGCTACCTCTGTGTCTCGCTCTCCTACCTCCGTTACCCTCGGAGATAACAAGACGCAGCGCTTCTTCGATCAGACGGTCCCCGACCTCCACTTCTCCCTCACCCTCCAGCCATCGGATAGTACCCAGACGCCTAGGCGCTACCATTCCTCCGCATACTTCGACGTGTTGGAGACTGGGTACGACTTTATCCTTGGCACTCCCTGGTCTCGCCGGTTCCGTGGCACAGAGGCCGAATGGGCGACCGAGACACTCGTTCTCAAAATGAAGTGTGGTGAGACTCATCGCATCTCGCTCATTGGAACCACGGGCGACACCCCGCCCGACCTACCTCCCCAGGACCCTCGTCCCTCAGGGTCCCACCCCGACATTGCGTTCACTTCCCCTCGTCAGTTTGCTCACTTCATACGACAGGAGGACGTCACGTTCTACTCAGTGAACATCATTGATCTTCGCTATGATCCACTCTGTCCCGAGGTTGAGCTCATCTCTCTGGAGCCCGATCCCCCTGACCCTCCTCCCATCTTCGAGGCTCCCATCTCTACATCCACTCGTCAGCCTGCGTATACCCCCTCCACGTCTCAGGCCCCTGCGTCGTCGACTGTCGAGTCCACACATACGTCTCATGTTGACGCTGACGATGAGGAACTCACACGGTTCACGGCAGACTTAAAGCCCGCCGTTCACGACCTGATTCGAGAGTACCGCGGCGTCTTCCCCCCATATTTCTCATACAGCGGGATTCCCCCGATGCGCGGTGTTGAGCATTCTATTCAGCTCATGCCTGAATATCGTGTTCACCATCAGGCACCGTACCGACTCTCGATTCCAAAGGCGATGGAACTCAAGCGTCAGCTTGAGGAGCTCCTTCGACTGGGTTTCATTAAACCGAGTAACTCCCCTTGGGGTGCACCTGTCCTCTTTGCTCACAAAGCGGACGGAACTCTCCGCCTCTGCATCGACTATCGCGGCCTTAATCGTTACACGGTTAAGAACAGCTATCCCATGCCCCGCGCGGATGAGCTGTTTGACCGTCTGGCAGGCAACCGCTTCTTCACGAAGATCGATCTTCGTAGCGGTTACCAGCAGATCCGCGTTGCCGCAGAGGACCAGCCGAAGACCACCTTCCGGTTGCGCTTCGGCCATTACGAGTTCACGGTGATGCCATTCGGCCTCACCAATATACCCGCCACCTTCGAGACGACAATGAACGATATCTTCGGGGACATCCTTGAGGAATACGTTCTCGTATACCTGGACGACATCTTGGTCTACAGTCGTACCTTAGAAGACCATATCAGGCACCTCCGTGATGTCCTACAGCGCTTACGCAAGCATGGCTTTTATGCCAAGCTCAGTAAGTGCCGCTTTGCCCAGCGCAAAGTGGACTTCCTAGGACACCATGTGTCTGACTGGGGTCTCCACATGGACGACGCGAAGATCACTGCTATTGCAGAGTGGCCCGTCCCCACATCTGTCAAGCAGCTTCGCAGTTTCCTAGGCCTCACCAGCTACTATAGTAATTTCATCCAGGGATACGCTAGGTATTCCTATGTCCTTACCTCCACCCTCCTCCGGAAGAACCCGCTGTGGTTTTGGACACCCCTCTGCAAGGACGCCTTCCGCGCCCTCAAGAATGCGGTGACTTGTGCGCCGGTTCTTCGTCTCCCTGATTTTAATTGCCCCTTCATCGTCACCACCGATGCGTCAGATTTTGCAGTAGGAGCAGTACTTTCCCAGGTGTTTCCCTCTCCTCCTGATTGACCTTATCAACATGTTTCTCCCTTCCCCCCCCCTCCTGTTGACACTGCTTCTCAACTGACGTCTATCCTACCACCACTTCCATCCACTGACAGTCCTCCCATTACTTACTCCCCGACCATCGCGGAGGATGGGACTGTCGAGGCTCGTGTTGGGGATTGCCCGATCGCCTTCTACTCTCGTCAGCTACTGCCTGTCGAGATAAACTACACTGTCGATGAACGTAAGGTTCTCGCAGTAGTTTATGCTACCCGGCATTGGCGTTATTATCTGCACGGGGTGCCCTTCACGGTGCGCACAGACAACTCAGTTGTCCAGGCTTTCCTCACGAAGCCCAAGCTCTCCCCTCGACAGGCACGTTGGTGGCGTGACTTATCCGAGTTCAGTTTCACCACTCAGCCCATCAAGGGTGAAACTAACCGCGTCGCCGATGCCTTGTCCCGCCGTCCTGATCACAATCAGGAAACCATCCATCTTGCTGCCATCTCCATCACCACTGTTGATCAGTCGGTGATCGACGCATATCGCACCCAGTACTGTCACAACCCGGATTATCGCATCATCCACGCAACCCTGCGGAGTGGTAAGACCGTTCCCTCATACTCCCTCGGTGAGAACGGTCTCGTGTACTGGCATGGCAGATTTGGTCAGCTAGAACCACGTATCTGCATTCCCTTCACCGGACAGCTCCGCGTCCAGGCTGTAGCAGAGTTCCATGATCAGGCAGTTGTCGGTCATATGGGCTTCCACAAGACGTTGGCTCATGTTTGTCGCCTATACGTTTGGCCGAAGTCCAAGGACTTCGTCAAAGCCTACATCCAGGAGTGTCCTACCTGCCAGGAGGTGAACAGTGCAAACCACCTTCCGTATGGGTTACTTCAGCCCTTACCCATACCCGAGGGTCGTGGGCAGTCCATCTCGATGGATTTCATTGGTCCCCTCCGCCCACCCACTGAGCGCGGTCATGATGCTATCTCGGTCATCGTCGATCGCTTCACGAAGCGTGCACGTTTTGTCCCGTGCCGCTATCGCATTAGCGCTCGTGAGGTCACCAACATCGTCTTCGACCGAGTCGTGAGAGATCACGGCTTACCTTAGAGCATCATCTCCGACCGTGACCCGCGCTTTACCAGCACATTCGGGCGACGCCTACACGAGGTGTACGGATCCCATCTCCGCTTCTCATCGTCTTACCACCCTCAGATGGATGGTCAGACTGAGGTCACCAATAAAACTCTCGGTAATATCCTCCGAAAGTTTGTTAGGGATGACCAGCAGTGGCACTTACACTTAGCCCACGCGGAGATTGCGCACAACCACGTTATTTCGCCAGCCACGGGGATGTCGCCATTCTATTGCGACCTCGGCTACCACCCTCGCGTACCCGCGCATTTCCTACGACCATCACGGTTGCGCCCAGACACTCGTTGCCCTACGCTTGGCGACTGGATCGTCCACACGGCGGCAATTATGAAGCGCGCACACGAGAGTCTAGCCGACTCCCAGACTCGCATGGTCGCACGAGCAAACCGATCACGAATGGATCATCCATTCAAAGTCAGTAACGATGTGCTCGTCGACGCACGCCACTTACAGCTCGAAGCAGATACGCTTCGCAAGTTCAGGCGTCGTTTCTTCGGTCCATGCTGCATCCTTCAGGCCGTCAGTTCTGATACTGCCGCTAGTCCGATTAGCTTCCGTGTGAAGCTACCTGATTACCTTCTACATGCTCGCGTACACGATGTTTACCACGTCTCCTTGCTGCGTCCTTATCGCAGACCGTCCGAGCGCTTCGCCGGACGCCCTTATGAGCGCCCTCCACCTATCATGGTGGACGGTYACGAGGAGTTCGTTGTTTCCRACATCGTATCACGSCGAGTTACCGACGATACCCCTCCACACATCGAGTACCTTGTGCGTTGGAAGGGCTACCCTGATGAGGAGGCTACTTGGGAGCCCCTCGAGCACTTGCAACACGATAGGATGTTGGTGCGTGCATATGATCGTGCTCGTCGTGCTGAGACATCTGCCCCTGCTCAGCCGACTGACCCTCTTCCTCCTCCTCCGGCTGAGGAGATTGCTGAGGACGAGCCCGCTCCCTCTGAGGTCGTTCCTCAGCCGCAGACGGTCGCCTCCGAGCGTCCACAACGCACTCATCGTCGCCCTTCGCGTTACGATGACTGACACTCTTATCCTCCATCTTTCCCCACTGACTCACACCATCAGGTACTCCATCATCAGCTCTTCTTCAAGATATCAGCGTTTTGCGGCTCTGCTTCGACATCGACTCAACTGCTACTTCATCGACATCATCGACCACTTCGACGACTTCAACTACCTTATCGGTTTCAGCTACTTTGGACGTGACTACTTCACGTCACCACCCTACCCTGTATACTCCCTCGCCTCCGTCGCATGATGGTTCTCACTTAGTTGGGTCTCTTTGAGTTGGGCTCTCCCTTGGTATCGCATAAGCATTGGGACCGTAGCGTTATCTTGGCTTCCTTGCTCCCAGATCTAGCTCCCTCTCCCAATCGGTGAGTTGTGTGCATGTTTCCGTCACCCACTGGCCTCATCACCCTAGCGCCGGCCATTGCATGCCTTTAGTTAGGCATATCTCCTTATTTCAGGCTCCCCCTTTTCATGGTCGACCCTGCATGGTGTCACCCTTGTCGAGCATTACCCGCCTTGATGGTCTATCTGTTAGGGTCATTGGTTTTGTTCGCTACCATTCCCCTACCTCGAGCCTGATGACCTATCCCACCTTTTTGTGTGACTGCCCTTAGGAGTTTCGATTCTTAGGCTGCATTCACCCCCCTCTGAGACCATCCCACTCTTAGTGGTTTACCGACACGACATGACCTTGTGACATATTGCTCTCTTTTCCTTTCAGTACTGAGGCAGTTGCCTCTAGGATTCTAGGATTGTACCACGCTACATTTCATTTTCTCCTATTAGCCAGGATGTGGATATCATACATTTGCTTTTCTATATGACATTATGTAGCTTAGGCTGAATCGCATGGACTCCGCATGGAGTTTGCTCCGCATCCTAGATTTATCAGCTTTCTTTGTTGCAGAGTTCCGCTGCTTTAGCGGATAGCGTGTTTATGGCTCTTGCGATCCACTACAAGTCTGAGGATCGTGCAGCGGGCCTCTATCTGCCCTGGCCTACAGCCAGGGGCTATCTGGCCATTTTCCCTGTTCGRCCTGTGGGACCAGGCCGTGGCCTGATCCCACAGGCCGTGTGGTTATTCAGTCCAGACCAGTCCTGCCCGGTACAACTGCCGGTACCAGGCCAGTCCAGTCCAGTCAGTCCGCTGGGGGTATACCCCAGCTGCAGTCTATTTTGTGGCTCATTCTTCATTTGCACAGCTTGGAGTACGTGCGTGTTGAGTCTGCGTTGGAGCTGCGCTGTCCCTTCCAGCTCCATCTCCATCTCCCCCATCCTCATCCCTTCATCTTGATCCTGACGACCGCCATCCCGACGGGTCCGTCACATTGCAACACTCTTGTAAAAACACTGCAATTGACCACTGAATTGAGTTGAGATTGATGGAGAATTATTCCTCAGAATTAGCTATTAAGTTCAACTACTTCTGCCTCGCGGTACAATTTTAGTCATCATACATGGCCCTGGGAAAACCTTACGCAGTACCACAAAGCCTGCCAGGCATCATAATCAACAATGATAGATAAACAGGGCTATCCAAACTTGTAGATCGCTGGCAAGTTGCAATGAACTAGATAGCAAGGTGCATCTGATATCAAAAACTAGTACCATCAGCTGGAATTATCATCCAATTTGTCAAGTACTCCTTGCCCCTGCAGTGAGAGGTACGACACCATACCACAGGCAATAACCTGAGCAATTACACCAAGTCCGATGGGGAAATCCTCCGCCCCATTCTGTCAATCATTACATTCTATGGCACATAAAACTTGACAGTCCATACTACAACCGGCAGTTCGATTCAATGGTGGCAGATACAGTCCACTCTACTATTAGTGGTTGCTTGGTTAAAAGTTGGCCCATAAAGTCTATGCCTGGGCCCAGGCTTCACATGAGGCATCACATGATAGCTTGTTCAGTTCAACGGCAGCCGATACAGTCCAGTCAAAAACTACCGGTCCCTTGGTTAGATGTTGGCCGATACAATCTATGCAGTGGTCCCAGGCTTCCCACGATAGCTTATTCCCCCGAAGATAAGTCCCTATTATCACAACTGTCTTTGACCAAGATAGAGCTGTGTATACGTTCATGATGATAGGCAGTTGTGTCCGGGGAAATAAGGTAGGATGATCCTCATACCCCATCAGGTGCAAGGTTTCCCAAAAAGAACTCTAGAGGTGACTGGTTGCGTGCTGTGCCTCCTTACCCTGCCCTTTGCAGGGCCTTCGTCAAAGAGGAGGTCATTTAACCTCTTCCCTGGCAAGGTGATTCTTCTGTGTGTAGCAGTGGCCTACCGGATTCCCGCAAATGGAACGAAAGTTCAGCATATCGGTATGTGAGCTGAAAATTGCCGTGGCTACAGACGTAATGACTCCACGCTCTATTGGTTGAAGATGATAGCAGTGGCCAATTTTATCCTCCAGAGTCCAGATAGTAAAGGTGGACTACAGCCACTGAAAGCCAGCAAGGTGGACTGAGATTCAATTTTCTCCCTCCCAGAGTGGGGCGCAAAGGTGGGAGGGCTAGGAAAGGATGAACGAACAGCCCCCACCAAGGGGACAATTCAAAAGCCCTTCTTGAAACGGAACACCGGCCATGACTTGATGCAAGGACATTGATTGCTCGCCTTGAACAACCAGCCAGGCTACAGGTCTCCCAGACTGGGGGGCAAGGGCGGGAGGGCAGGTAGAAGAAAACCGAGCACACCCCAGTGCAAAACATTTCAGAACCCTCTCTGAAAATGGGACTTGGCCGATGAGTTTATTGTGGCTGCTTGCTTTCCAAAACTAGCCATTCCCGTCCCCACAATCAGACCAGAGCAGCAGGGATGGTTACAGTCTCAAGTACAGATTACAATAGGGCAGGGAGAGGAAGACCCCAAGGGAATCATGTTGGAGGCCCCTCTCTAGATTGGAATTGGCACATGACTTTTGATGTTGTGATCAATTCCTGACTTTCTGAAACCAGCTGCAGTGCTCCAGATAATTCAACGGGACCTATAACAAAAGGGGCGGATGGAACTTCTGGTACCTCACAGACTCTCCCTAACACCATGGACTATGCCAAAGTCAGAACAAACGAGGATAACCAACTCAATAATAGCACATCTCAATGCCAACAACCGAGCCATGGTCGGTGGAGAAGGAAACCAGGAGAAAAGAAAGAACAAGAACGATTGTCTGGATACAAGCCAGGCAAGCTGCGACCATCCGCTTCTGAGTATCAGGCACCATCTCCTGCTAGGGCCGTACCCTGCACACAGCACACCTGAGGTGAAGCAGCGTATACCCATACACACAGCACGGAGAATCGGCTTTCTAAACATAGCAGTAACAAGAATAGCAGCAGACGGCAAAAGACTACCCTGCTGCTGTTAGAAAGAAGTATCTGGACATCAACATGTCCCAATACAGATCATAGATCGGCCTCGTGTTCAGGCACATTCTCACAGAGGCATTTTAGTTGTTTCAAACCCTTCAGGTTACTATGTTCATTGTCATCATCCACATCTATCTGTATACCTATTAGCAGTGAGCCCGTTCCTCGTGTAGCGCATGTAGCAGGCCCAGGAAAAAGGTCTGCTGTGCAGGGCGGCATCCCAGCAGAGGACCCAGGTTCTTGTTTTCGCGACATCTCTCCCATAACAAGTTTGTATTTTTACTCTCAAAGGGTTTCTGACTCGCATGGCCTGTGTCCTTCCCTCAGCTCCTCTCGGCTTTTCGCCTTACAGGTTTCTGTGGAGTTTCTGATTTGCTTGCGTGGCCTTTGTCCTCTTCGGCTCCTCTCGGCTTTTCACCTTATTGGTTCCTGCGGGGTTTCTGATTTGGAGGCACGCCCTCTGTCCTCTTCGGTTCCTCTCGGCTTTTCGCCTTTTACAAGTTTCTGCAGGGTTTGTGATTTGGAGGCCCGGCCACTGTCGTCTTCGGTTCTTCTCAGCTGGCGGCGAGCTGCACGTGTTCGAAAACAAGCACATAGCGAGCTTGTGTCAACATGGCGGCAGGCTCTTTT